TTGTCTGTCTGCCTGTCAGCATGTTTCTTTTTGAGTTTGCTTGCTTGCCTTGCTTGCTTGCCTTGCTTGCCTGCCTTGCTTGCTTGTTTTGCTTGCTTGCCTGCCTGCTGCTTGCTTGCTTGCATGATGTGGTTTCTCTGGGTATGCGCAGTTCCAGTGTTGGGTGTGTCTGTGTGGAGGGTTTGTTGATCATTTTTGGCTACTGCTTTGCGAGCTGTGGCCATTTAATTTGCGCAAGATCAGGGGCCATGTTGTAGGGGGTTGCCACATGAGCAGCTTCCAATTTCAAAAACTCCTACCTGAGCAAGAGTGGGTGTCAGTATGAGGACATGCATAGACCTTTGACCAGCACATGTACTGACCAATCACGAACCTTGTGTCGAAGAAGCCAGTTACCGGCAACAGTGCGCCGGAACGTTGCCACGCGCCCACTAATAACAACGGTTTGGGCAAAAAGGCACCTGTATGCTTTCCTGTGCAAGTCTCTCTATTATTCATTTGGCCTTGCTTCTGGCAAGGGCTGGGTTTTGGGGGCGTTCGGTGCCTGGCCAAAGTTAGTGACTGCAACCTGATGTTTGCGTATGCCAGCAAACTCCGGTTCGCTTAGAAGGTCCGTGGCTAGTTAGCCAGTTGAACGTACTGAATGAGTTGCCAAGTGAGTTCTTAGGGCCTTACTGGGGCCAACTAAGGTCTGGTTGGGGCCAACTAAGGTCCTTGGGGCCAAGCAAGGCCAAGAAGAAAGGCCCTAGCCCAAAGAAGGCCTTATTGACAGTCAGGTAAGGCCAACAAGCGAACCACAACCGCAACTAGAACTACAACTATAAACATAGCTATGCAGCGAAAACTATGACAAGAACCACAACTATACCTATAACTATCGCTATAACTTGTGCTATGAATAAACCTATTGCTATAACTATAATTACAACCATGGCTACAACAGCCTAACCATGAACTAGAACCGTAGCTATGGTTATAACATTACAACCGCACCAATAACCATAGCTATACTGTGGATGGACAACATCCAGCACCACCTAAGGAACCCTGGTTTCTGATGATCAAACAATGGCTTCAACCATGGTTGCAAAGTGGTGCAGAATTTCGTCCATCCACAGTATGCTTGAACCACTATTCCAGGGAGACCTTCCTCAAACTCTTTCCAGGGATTTTCAGAAATACAGAAATGGCCGGTTGCAAAGTGGTGGTACTGGTATCAAGCTGATGGAAGGCCTTCCCCGTTGCCGGTTGGATCAAGGACCTGCCGCCGCTGCCGGAGCCGGTGCGACGGGACCAGCTCCTGCCAGGACCTCAAGGCATCGTCGGTCAGCCGTCGGGGTTCTGTTTGGAGTTGTTTTTCGCTGGTCTAGTTGCATGTAGAAAAAATGTGTGCGTGTGTGTGTGTGTGTGTTTTGCGAGGGTGCTCGTTCAGCTTGGTTACAAGGGAACTAAAGGGAACACTGAAGCCATTTAGAGTTCTTTTTTTGACAACCCAATATCGCTGCCCTTTGTCTAATTTTAGTGTTTCTGGCTTCTAGGCGTTACCAAAGTCGGCAACTGGGTTGGTTAGTTGGTTGTTGGTTGGTCGGTGGGTCGGTCGGTCTGTCTTTTGTTGGTTTAGCATATTCTCGGCGGCTGGCTAGATCGTTGCTGTTTTTACGAAAGTTTTTTGGGGTTAGTGCTGGAGTATTTGGTTTCCCGAAGATGGATTCGACCCCACCTGAAATGGTGGGTTCATTTTGGCTTCCCTTTAGAAATCATCCGCATTTCTCCAATTTCAGAAGCACCAATCACTTAGAACATTTTATCAACGTCAGAAGCAGACGCCCAGTCCATTGAAGGTATCATTTGGGTGGATGGGACAATAGTGGTCCGGGCTTCGGAAGAGTGAATTCACTGCACTCTGTGTGCTATTGTCTTCTTTTTTTGCTGGATCTTTTGTCTTTAACTTTCTGGGAGCATATGTACTTCCCCACAACCGATTGAAACAGCGCACTTTTCTGGGGTATGAGTCACAGAGTACCATGAGTCGGTAGAAGCTCATCCTGAACTCTAGGGAACCCGCCCTGGGTTTTTCTTGGTCAATGAGTTTGCGTACTGAGACTTTGTTTGTTTGGTGGTTGGAAGGGAGCCGGGGATCTCCACAGTTGCTTTTAGTTTTTATCATTTGAACTGTGGGTTGAGCGGCGGGGCTATACCTTTCATGTTTAAGTGGTTTTCTGAAACTTCTGAGGTCACCTCTTGGGAGGTTGCCCAAAAGGTAGACCATGTGATGTTTCCTGAAAATCGACTTCCGCGCTCCGATGTTTGTTCACAGTCGGCTGCCCGGAGTTCTTATTCGAATCAAGTTTCATAGAAGGCACCCTGCCAAAGGTTTGGATCGAGTCTCACGCACCCGGTTTTCTAGGAGTCGGCACCCGAGCGTTGAAGTGAAACCGGGATGCCGGGCCCACAGCTCCATAGGCAAGCGAGACGGTGGCGAAGCAGTGGCCCCCAACTTTTTCGGGAGCGAGTCGAGTATTGGTGTCGCATCAGTTGGCATTCTGGAAGCGGGATCCGATCAAACGGTGCAAGGCGGAACCAAACTCGGGTGTAAAGGCGGGACATGTGAGGTTTCTGTGAACGGGCGAAGAGAAGGTATGGATTGTTCGAGTGGTGAACTCCATATTTCAAGAGCCAGTCTTCGAGGTTTTCACAGACCCGTAGGCCCAAGGCAAATATATGACACTTATGCCATACCTGGGGCTAAGACAAAATCCCGCCAGTTCTCTTGTGTTCTGACTGGGGAGTCTTTCGGCTTGTTCACCACTTGTTCTCTCCTTTTTGACAGTTGTTTTTATTTGTTGTTTACCCGATCCTTGCAGCGTCGCAAGGCTGTGAAACCTTTCCTAGTGGATCTAAGGCATGCCACTATATTCGGACAACCAGCCATGCGGTTGTCCTGCAGAAGTTCCGTTTGAGGCAATCTCTGGGCGGCACCACCTATGTCTTGGCCCAGATTGCTATGGCCGTAGGCAGGGCCGATAGGAGGTTGGGTCGGGGCGGTGGGCCACTAAATGAAGAGGAAGGGACAGAACCAGCCAGAAATAGGTTCGCATAATTGCCCTGTCAGTTCTTTACGTGGCTTTGAGTAGGCCATGTTAAATACCAGTTCTATTTGTGGCTCGCTTGGGCCGGTGTTAATTATATATTTTTGCTGATGTGAACCCCGAATTCCCAAAGAACAGAAAGGAAGCCTTTGTTTTCTTTACTTTTGGGTCCCCATTGGACACGGAGGACTGACTAATGTTTTTTAAACGAACAAAGCATGTGGGGGCAATCTCTAAGTTGGCCATGTGGCTCGTACGGACTTGATATATCAACACAGGAAGTCGAAGTCACTTGTCCAAAGCGAACCTTCGAGTTGGTTCTCCGCTATTGGTTTACTCGCAGCTCGCCCGGCAAGTCAATTTGGGCCCTTAAATCCGTTGGAATGTTCCCCCCGAGACGTCCTTTTAGGCACCTTCTGCAAGTGGCCGAGAATTCCCAAACGAGGCTTTCAAACGACCTTGGTGAATGACGGGGGTTTGTTTTGGTGGCGATTCTGAAGGATGTGGTTTGAGTGATAAGGGTCAACAAGTTTCCAAGCGCCGCCAACCCGAACAACGTACCATGGGTGGAGGAAATCCTGCACCACCTAAGAAACCATGGTTGAATTCATTGTTGGTTTTTGTATTTACAGGGGAATATACACGGGAATCATCAGAAACCTGGGTTTCTTAGGTAGCGTGAAATGGATTTTGTCCATCCTCAGGGGAACGGCCTTCTGTTTGCTGCAACTTTCTGTGTTTTGTTCCTGGCGGTTTTAAAGGGAATGTCAGTGAGCCTCATCGGTTTGGAAGTGTGGAGGGGTGGGAAACGTAACTTCAGGTAGCCCTTCATTGGTTTGGATTGGTTTGAAGGGAATTGTAGAGGGTACATGGGAAACCCCCGCTTAATCGCCAAAGCAAAGCACCATTCCAATCATCAGTTGGAGGGAAGCTGTGGGTGAGGTGCGAATCTATCACTATACCGGATGTATTTGTTGGGTCTTCCGAGACTTATGCACATGGATGAGGTTGCGAAGGTGAAGGTCACAACAAGCCAAGGGCGTATGTCTGGTTAGTATCGGTTTTCGCTGGTCACGTATCGGTTTTGTCGTTCGGCGAAGGGAAATATACAAATGTATACTCTACCCTCGACTAACTTGGAAGGGCACAGAGCCATATAGAAAAACTTGTTCCTTTTGGACAGGGGGTTTGTGCACTTCCATCTTAGTTGGTGGGCGGGTATATGTGTGTATATATATATATATATGTTTGGCGGTCACCTGCATCGGATTCCACTGTGAGTTTGTCAGATATTTAGCAAGGACTTCTTACTTTGAGAGATCAGAGCGGATATCGACAGCGAGGTAGAAGCGAAGAGACGGGGTTTATAGAGAGCGTGGCCTCAATGTGAGTTCGTAACCTGGGATCCCGGTTGCTTTTCCTTGATTCAAGCGCCCTATTTGAACATACTGTGGATGCATAAGGAAATTTGGAACGATTCGAATTGTCTGTACCTACCAACAAGCACTGTTTTTTTCTTCCATGGTTTCAATTTGGTGCGAACGGATTTCGTCCAGCCACTGTACACTTGCCACATGCTGGCCTAGGCCAGGCCTCCAAGTCGGATGCACCCCAGTGATCTTATGTGTTTTGGGTTTGTAGCCGTTGTCTTGCCTTTAACTTGCTGGTGCTCAGCAGGGAATGTGGAAATGAACACAGGGGTTTTAAAGGAAACCATAGGGGATGGTTTAAATGGGTCATTCCCTCATTCCCTGCTGAGCACCAGCAAGCTAAACCACCAAAAGGAACATGGCTGGGTGCCTACTATATAGGTAGGTGGGATCCACTGGATACAGCAAGGGGCACTTTAGTTGGGGCCTGACACGGAGTTTGGTTTGCCCTTTGAGCGGGACAGCCCTCCATTTTTGTAACATGCAGAGCGCCTAGATCCCGTGGTTGAATCGTAAGGCTCATTTGGATCCCCTTTTACATGGGACACCCCGGCTCGAGATCGACCAGGAGCTTGTTAACCCCATCATACACCCATGGAGAAAACAAGGTTACTGGGAGTTAATTAGTCCGCAAACACTAGGAGCCTAAACCCTGATCTATCATCGGGATCGTTTTGAGGGCATGTTTGTGGGGCTCTAAGGAACCAAAGAAAACCGCTTCGCCATTTTTGGGGGTTTCTCAATGGCACTGCATTGAACTCGAGGCTTGGGCTCCCATTGAAGTGTTTTGCTTGGGCCCCAGAAGCAGCTCGCTTTTTTTGTCTTTGTTCTTGGGCCTCTAAAACTACATGTCAGTGCAGACCAGAGGTCTCACATTATCTGAAGCAGACTCGAGATTTGTTGTTTTCGGAGTATATACCCGTTGTTTAGCGCTGGTTTTCCCATGTTTTTGTTGGCCCGAAGGTTGGGTCATTCAAAAGCCATCCAGATCCCCGGCCGATTCATTATGGAGTGAAGTGTGTAGGTACAAGGGAAGTGGGTAGTTGAGAGCCATGGGATCATAGAATTACTTATTCCCTAAGGTTCCTTGAGCCTTAGAGATTCCCCCCTTGAACCTCCTCCCCCAGACAATTCCATACTGGATAGAAACCAGCTACAGGAAATTCTACGGGAAGTTCGCCAACAAAGCCCACCAAAATCAGTGATTCTGATTTCCGAAAAATAATTTCCTGTAGTTGGTTTCATTCCCCCCTCGAACCTCCCCCCCCTGCCCAGACGTCCCCCCCCTAGACGATTCCAGAGAACAAATCCGCGCTGGTTGGCAGGCGGCACCCACGGCTTCGTGCTGACCACCTTGCCGCGGCTCCTGGCTGCCCCGCTCTCTGTGGAGCTGTGGTGGACGTTTTTCGTGCTCATCTACGCCGAGGCCGAGACGAAAGAAGGGCCGGGAAGGAGCCCATGGGGGGGGGCGGACGAATGTTGACTCCATATGGCTGCGGGTTGTACCCAAAAATGGAACCCTGGTAAATGGAAACGAGGACTCAAACCTGCGGTCCCCTGATGGTTTAATTTTGACCCACACCCATCTGAATCAACCCCATGTTGGGGGTCTCCCTGGGTTTGGTTTGGAATCATCACTTTTGAACAGGGGTGACTTTCCCCAACCGGACAGCAATGTGTGGGTTTGTTCATTTGTTAGTTTTGCCCCGGCGCCTGTTTGGCACGTTGCGAACGGACTTCCTGTAAGGTTCATTCTGAGTCAAGCGAGCAATGTTTGGCAGTTGGCAGTGTTCTTGCCAAGGAAAAGCGTCGGCTTATCAAAGCAGCCGGACGAATTTCCATAAGTTTCTTAGGCCGCCATCGCGGTGGTGTGCTTGCTGTACCTCCTCTTCGGCGATCCTGGCGCTGCTCCGTCCGCAGTTGGCTGGCTTGCGGCTTGCGAGACCGCCTTTCATCTTTGGCCGCCTCAGTCTGCTTACAAATGGGGCTATAGACTTCGCAACCCCCTTGTTTGGAGGAATATAACTTATACAACACAATTTAAAAGCTATATATAAATATGCCATGGACCCTATATATGTATATAAACAACCTCCTTGTTGGGAGGAGTATAAGATTTTGACGCCTTTAAACGAACACCGAGGCGGCCAAGATGCGGCTTCGCACAGGCGGTTCTGTTGCGTGACAGCTTCGTGCAAGGATGGCTCCTCGCTGGAGGAACGCCTCCCCCCCACCTTGCCCTGCGAACAGGAAAAGGGGAGGGCTTGGGGTTAGGGTTTGAATCCCATGATCATTTCATGTCCGCTCCTAAGTTGGTACATGAGCTGGTTAGCTCTGCGATTCTTGTAAGGCTTTTCCGTTGGTGGAGCTGTTCTGACATGGTACATTTCAAGGTGTACGAACTTGTATCAGAGTCTAACAATATCATTGCTGAAGTCGCTTATGGGAAGCCTATGCGAGAAGATTTCTCAAAGAGGAGTGCATGTATTGCTGTGCTACCTTCGTTTGTTCCCTGCAAATTCGGGTGGAACCAACCAAAAGCAAGTTGCGATCGGTTCGGGGACCCATTTTTTGGGTTGCAGGTCAATTTGCAGGTGTACTTGCAGGGGCAGCAAGTAAACTACTGGTTCCCTGCCATATTTTTCGGGAATCCACCGGGGCGCCATTCGGCATCAACCTCCCGCGGGTCACCACCCATAGAATCAAGAAAGAGCTCTCAATATGTGAATCCTTGCCACGTCTGAACCTGTTCAACTTCCCTATGTGGAACGAAGCTGGCGGCACTTCTGATGTCTCATTTCGTGATTTCCCGCAAGTGTTGGGTGTGTGGCCGTGTGGTGGCCTTGCGTCAATTCGTCAGGGTTTCTCAATCTAGCGGTCCACTAAAGTGGTCATGTGGTTCCCCTTGAAATGCCAAAAGGGGACCTGCCATTTTGAGAAGCTGCCCTTTAAGACTGCGGCCAGCCATGAGCCCGTCTCGAGGTAATTAAGCGCTCACCAGAGACCTGCTTCCCTTTGCCGCAGGCTTGGCGTGTTGAGAGCGACGTTCGGAAGATTAGTGGGCTGATGTTTTGTTCCCCGTTGTTTGAGGATGGGTTGTCCCCTTTAAGCCCAGCCAACATAAATAGCGTTCCCTTCAGAGTGACATGTAGTTCGGGGGTTTCAGCTATGATTCCCATGTTCGGTTGGGTTTACTCACCGCCTTTGCTTCAAGGGACAGATGGAAAGCCCTGAGGGCCGGCTTTGGAACAGATGTTGCTTCCGAATTCCCAGCAAGGAATCCCAGAATGCCACAAGCTCTGAAGAAGGGTCGGCGCCTTTTTCAAGCCCAACTTGGAATCCCCCCAGAAAGCTATGGCTCGCGGACTCGCGGACACGTGAAATGGCACGACCTTTTCTGGCAAGCAACTTGACATTCAGTAGTCTGAGTGAATTATAACGACCTCACACGGCCTCACCCCAAATGGTGGTTTATGTGGGGAATAGCCCCCAACCACTTGACATTCAGGAGTCATAGGGATTGTGGATGGACAATTGTGACTTCGCACCATTCGGGATGGGTGAAGCCCGATTGGGTTTTGTCCAGGAAACGGCACACCATGTTGTTTTGTTCCCAAGTACTAGGGGGCTCACACATTGTCCTTTGGGCATCCAATGGTCTGTTTGAGAAAAGGGATGCTTACCCACTATCAATCACATCATGGTGCAGGGAGAGTTTGACGAACTTACTCTTTCTCATACAAACCAGGGCATGCAATGTCAAGATCAGAAATCCACTCGGCACATGACTGTTTCTGTTCACGTGTGGTCAAAAACCCGGTCCCTTTACTTGGGGTATTATATACTACTGTTGATGGAAGAAGTCCTGAACCACCGCGATGAGAACGTTCTCCGCCCCCGCGCTCCCAACTTTGCATTGGTGCTTCAAAAGGTACACACGCCGAACTGCAAAATTGCTAAAATCGTGTACCACCCTCATGCGCCACTTTGCAACATTGAACAACGGGGTGGGGTTCGTGCGATGCCTTTAAAGCACCATACCTGAAAGTGCCCATTGCAAACAACTCGTGCACACAACATGAATGTGCAACCACCGGATGTTTTAACCCTCGGGCCCCTTTCCACCTGAGTTGGCCGCATCGAGGAGGTGGCCACACGCTTGCGGCGCGGGGAGGCGCTAGAAGGAGTCGAGCCGCTGGACATTGACAGATTGCAGGTTTTGGTGAGTTTGTCAACGAGGGGAGGGGGTTTTGTTTCGGCCCCTCCAAAGGTGATATGATTCCCCACCAAACCCTGGGACACCCCTCTATGAGCAAACTGGTTGGTTGATTATGGGGTCAACATTATATGGCACAGTTTCCTTTATTGGTAACATTGCATGACACATAATTCTGGCATCTACTTTCCAGCCTTCGAATCCCTCGAGTCCGGGTGTAACGGGAGCGACCAGTGGTCCCGCTACTTTGGGGTTTCCGATGGGCGCACCAGTAACCCAGAAGACAAAGCCCCAGGGGTGGGCCCCGGTGTTTTTCTTTTTCCGTTCGGTGCGGGGGATGGCTTGATGGGTTGATGGGTTATGGGTTGGCCTTGAATGTCAATTGACTTGTTTTTTTTCGGTGTGGGTGGGAGGCAGTGGGAGGTAAAATTGGGGGGCAGGTCCCTAGTATAGGTCACCGAGCCTCAACAAAAGCACACCCATATTGTGCTTGCTTGTCATGAAGCCAAACACGTTTGAACCATAGGACTTGAACCCATGACCGAGCCAAAAGAAAAACACACGTCTTCGTCGTGCCAAATAGTTGGAGGAAACCACCCCCCCCAAATGATGTGCTTCTGAGAAGTTTTGAAACTGTTCCAAGTGAGTCCGAGGAATATCCAGGAGGGGGACAGCACCTTCTGCGTTCGGTGCTTGGTATGGCGCCCCACCAAGCAGCGCTCCTGGCTGGCGGAGGAACGAACCGAACAAAAGAGCGGGGGCGGGGTGGGGTGGGGTGGGGGAACGAGGCAGATGGAAGAGGCCTACTTGGACTGCAAATGAAGCTGAGTGACCTGTGCGTAAGCAAAACTCCTCGCGCGTCAGGCGGCATAAGATGGTGGCGTAAGCCACATGATACGACGCAGCAAATCATGACACGTTTAACCGTTTAGGACACGTGGCTCAAATGGCTCTGAATGGGACAGAGAGGGGGGTAAGTGGATTTTGGGTGTATGGTGACTTGACTTGAAAGAGTAACCACCTCAAAAGTTGTGGACCATGTTTGTCCGCTACAACAATGGTGGGTGCCCTTGGCCAGCAACCTGGACTTTTAAGATGATGTGTGTGTGTGTGTGTGCGCTTCTTTGGACCAATGTGTACTTACATTTCAGGTGAAGGAAGAAACAACTAGAGCCTATCATGAATTCATCGGAACAAGTAACTGGAGCCTATCACGAATTCATCAAATTTAAAAGGAACAAACTTTGAGCATACTTAGCTGTTTGGGGCCAGTAGGAGCCCTGAGAGTACCTGAAATAAAAGAGGTCTCTGGTTCAGACTTAGACCATGGTCCTTATAAATGGGCATCCTAGTGGGTTGCAAGTTAGCGGGTAGACGGAAAATGCACTGTTGCCAGGTCCAGCAAGCGTAAACCATGGGATGTGAAGCTATGTACGGAAGTATGTTCGACCCCTTCCGGTTTCAAATAAAGCAAATTCGTCCGCCATTCAGCTCAACCCCCCACAAACTGTCCAGGACATGGATTCAAATAAACTGATTAAATTTTAAGGCGGGTCGCATTCATCCGCATTCGCGTGCGGTATGCCAAAAACTGTCAGGGTTCTGTGAGACAAGCCTATAGTTCTAGTTTCCCTGTGCACCTGTCTTTCGAAATCCATCAAACCCGGCAGAAGCAGCTGGATTTCGAAAAGAACTATGGTTGAACAGGCATGGAATCAAGTCCTGGAGAGGGCCATTCCACACGTACCGCCCTGACCAACAGGAAACGCAATCAGCCCCTACTCCCAGACTGGACTTTATATTTCGTGTGCAAACCATGGAGACGAACAAACAAGTTTGGACCATTGTTCTCGGCCAACCCACTCATGAAGTCACCCATGAGCCTGGATCCACCGATCCGTCAGGCGGCGGGCGGCAAGATGCCCCCGTGGCTGCGACGCTGCTTGCCATGTCTCCGCGATGGCCGCTGCCACCACTGCAGGCGGGCCGACGGGGTGTTGGCAGCTGCTTGGTTGGATGTTCGTTTCTTTGGGTTCCTCCTGTTTTGGGAAACTGCGTGTAGTCTACATCGGCCTACATTGTTCGAAAGAAAACGTATGTTTGCCCGCTACTCAACGAAAGATCGTGAACAATTCTTGTGCATGGGGTATTTGGAACCCAGTGTTGTTCCTGATTGGGTGGATCAACCCGGGCTCGCCAGGTTTTGGTCCATTTTGATTGTGCCAAAGGTGGGGAAGTCGGAATGCCAAAGGTGGGTCCCAATCAGCAAGACACCCATATTCCCCCAGACATTTGAATCAACGAGTCTCTCAAGAGTGGGAGTTGGGCATGGCCTGGAGTTGGGCAATACTAAACTAGGTACTGGCAATGCTTGAAATTGGCAGTTTTTCAGGGCCCAAGCTAAGCGCCCCTTAGAATTCGAAGGGTTGGGCCCGATCTAGTTTCCCCCCCCCCCTCCAACGAAAGAAACAGAGGCTGATGTTAAAGAGAACCCCCCAGTAATGTTGGAGAGTGAGTAATAAAGGGCCCCCCCCCTCAAACGGATTGGGGGGGGGGGTCAATAGCGAGAACCCCAAAAAACAAATTGGGGGTCAGACTGGGACCTGCCTGAGTAGATTTCCAGTAAGTATTGTTTAGAATTGGTTTAGTATTGGTTTAGTATTCCTTTGAGCTGGCTCACTACGGTTTAGAATTGGTTTAGTATTAGTTCAGTATACTGTTCAGTTGACTCACTACAGTTTAGAATTGGTTTAGTATTGGTTCTTCTTCTTGGCAGGCTGCCCTGGCCATTTTTTGTTCACAATTTCCTACCCTTAAGCAAACTGCATTATTGCCTTCCTGGGGGTTCCGTGTGCCACCCTTTTGAAAATTTGTCAGGGTGCATCTTCTAGTAAAGGGATTGATAAGGAATTTTGTGGTTTGGGACAGGAAGCAATCCAGAGATTCTGGATATTTCTGGATTTATCTGAGAACAGCAGGGCTTTCTTCTTGGCAGGCTGCCCTGGCAATTTGTTTCTTCACAATTCCCTACCCTACCCTTAAACAAACTGCATTATTGCCTTCCTGGGGTTCCGTGTGCCACCCCCTTGAAAATTTGTCAGGGTGCATCTTCTAGTACAGGGATTGATAAGGAATTTGGTGGTTTGGGACAGGAAGCAATCCAGAAATTCTGGAGATTTCTGGCTGGACTCAAACGTTTCAACCCTCAAAAATAGTCCATTCTTGGAAGGGGACATATTTTCGGGATTTCGGGCAGACTTTTTCTGTAATACCTACCCTTTTTGCTTTTCAGGAGAGTGAATAATTTTGAGATGTGTTTCTGTATTGACTCCCGTTTTATTAATCGCTATCTAACATTACAGTGGATCCAGAACTTTTTAACGGGGGACGCCCCCGTTTTGACTGTTCCCGCCTTGTTTTGGTCAGATATAGGTAAATGCCATGGTTTGGGACCAGCTTTTGAACACCTTGATCCCCAGCTTGGCGGTCGAAGCCTTTAGTGCGTAAGCACTCCTGGGAAAAGATGAATGGTCAGGCTGGGATAAACTTTCGAGAATTCGGGTCCCAAAGAAATGCTGATTCTGCCGAGGGAAAAGCCTTTCTATACTAGCGGAGGCCCAACCCTTTTTGGCGAGCTTCCTTTTGCTTTCCCTTTCAAGCGGAAATCTGGACGCATAAGCCGCAGCAGGACCTGCGGTCGTTGCGTGCGCTTCTTCGACCACCACTGTGGGGTCTTCGGGCGCTGCATTGCAGGGACCCACTGATTTTCAGCCGAAGGGATGTGGACGCCACATTTACGTTCGGCCCCCAAATGACCATGGGCAACTTTTCCCATTCAGTGGGACATATATCCTTGTCCGTGGTGTTTCCCAATGGTCATCTCATGTTCTTTGGGCAAGTGAGAGTTTCTGAGTTTTTGGACTTTGAGCCTTCTCAGGGGAAGATCATCTTGAGAAATACAAGGCTTGCACTTGTTTGACCAATCCACTTTGGAAACCGGGGAATTGGGGGAGGACTTACCAGCACACATGAATGCCGTCGCAAAGACCTTGTGGGCTGCAATATGTCCAAGGGAAATCTAAATGATGTCCTGAATGCGGTTTTCCAGGTGGTTGAAAGTCGCAACCAACTGTGCCAAGATACTGCTGGAATCCTACAAACCGGATGCTTGGTGGCTTTGCTCTTTGGCGAAATGGAGATATGATGCGAAAGCCTGTGCATGTATGTGGTGGGGGCAACAAGCATTCCTTGTTTGGGGCTTGGACTCATGAGTTGTTTCTGAGTGTTGCTTGTTGTTTCACGAATATTTGTTTCAACACGCTGCTTGTTTGCCTTCAGTGGCCCAAGCTTGGAAATCCAACTTCATTCGTGAGGCCTTTAAGCCGGCCATTTGAATATGTCTCCCATGTTATTTTCCTGTAGCGTTGCAATGCAATGGTTGCCATTTCAAGGATGCAGGCCATGTGGAAAAAATATTTGGTGTTTGGGTCTATTCACTGTTCTTTTTTGGGTTCTATTCTGTTTTAGTAGTAGGCTACAAAAAGACGGCTTTTGGCTACCATAGCAAGGGCTGGATACTTCCCAACTTTGGAATGAGTAGATGTGAAGAAACACCTGCCCAGAGGAAGCCAAACTCATGGCAACGAGATCTCGAAGACACCAGGCCCGAGGAACCCGGCAAGCTTTCTCACGCTGAGCGTGATGCTACGGTGGCTTTCCTTCTCAAACATTCGAACGAGGCAAGTGGAGGTGTGGACATCTTTCCAATGCAATTGCCACGTTTGCAGGGTTTTGGTTCTGCTGTTGATTGCAGGACCCTGGTCTCCGGCAATATGCCCTTCTTCTGCACGATCATCTTTATGTGCCCTGGCCATGTTCAGAAGTGGCCACCCCTTGTCAGTGCCACTCAGTGTCTTGAGTCATGGACTCGTCGCCTGGGCTTGGGCTTGTCAAATGTTGTCAACAACATGACCCCTTTTGGACCGTGGTACGATGGTGATACATGGGATACAAAAAGGGCCTGAGTTTTGACAACCCCCCCATGTAGAAAAAGACCTGTGCAAAGGTTCCCCTGCAAAGCGATGCAAGCCTCAGCTGTTGCTCGAGCGAGAACTGTTGACTTGAGCTATGCACACAAGTCAAGTCGGCCTGTCAAGTATGACCCAGAGAACTGAAATCATTCGCACAACGTAGGGCTGATTGCCATCAAAGGTTTCATTGCATATGAGCAAATATGAGCAGCATGAGCTTTGCAGCGCTATCAGCCTGTCAGCATGAGAGGACAGCAAGGGCTTCCATTCCTGAGTGACGCGCAAGTACTCCATCTTAATACTGAGCCAATAGCGGGAGCCCTTTGGAAGGCCACTGAAATCTAGGCCCCTTCCTGCTCGTCCCTGAGTCCAAAGAGGACTATTTCTCAGCCAGGCTAGAGCCCACATTCTTCACGCACTGACATGGAAGTGTGCCAGATCACTTTTCATAGGGAGACAGTGGAGTGCTTGCAGCTCGTTGGTGGGACGTGTTGCTATGCGGCCCGCCACCCAATGGCAACCGGGGGTTGGGGGCGTTCCTGGTTCTCTTCCTTCTGTCGATTTTGAGGATTCCAGTTTTGTGGCTGGCTTCAATGGGAAGCCGAAAGGAAAGCGAAGCCCGGATTGAACGGTCCGATTGTAGAGCCTCGGCTCTATTTTCCACACCCCTAAGTACATGGAAGGGGACCCAACTTCCATTCAGGGACCCCTCTCCATAAAGGTTCCTGGGGAAATGATTTGCACATCTTTTCCGGTGCTTCCATTCAAGCCACTATCAGTAACCTTTGTGTTTACTTGTAGGTCTGACATGATGGTTTCCTCTCGTCATCTACGGCAGCTTGCCTGGAAGCTCTGGGGTCCTTGTGGACAAACCTTCGCTTCGATTTCCCGAGACATCCGAGCGCCTTTGCTTTTCTCGGTTTTGCCAGACATGTGTCTTTCTTTAGTTCAGGGGGTGGTTTTACCATTAGTCAGGTGGTTTACCTTGATGGTAGTTTTCTTCCTTTCAGTTTAGAATGGTGGTGATATCGTTAGTTTCCCTTTACCACCAACAACTTTTTCCATGGACCAAAGGCCTTTGCAGATGTACCAGCATTTTGCTTCCAGCCATGAGAACCAGGAGCCGCGACAAGAAACTTTTACTTTTTTTTTGGAGAACCCGATCAAAGCCCGGGTTTGATCCTCCAAGATGGTTGTTTTAGCGTGAGTTTCCCTTTGACACCACCAACAAAGCATAAACAAAGAAGCAACAAAAATCGGAGTGCCAACTCCCAATTGTGAAACACAGGTGGCTTTTCATGGGTCAAAGGCCCGGACACTTCCGAGGGAGCCACGTGCTCAAAACCCGGGTAGATGAAGGGACAATCCATCCCAACCATAAATAGCTGCGGATATCCGCCTTCTTAGAATCTTAATTCTTGAAGCATGGTTCTGGGATTACGACAATTTTACTACCCGGGTTTGATTTTGACTCCAATGACTCTGTGCCCGTGAATAAGCAAGCGGTCGCTTTTGCCGGGAGTAAGACCAACTTGGGAGACAAAAGTGGCTCTTGGGGGCGTTTTTACCGTTTACTTCCCCAGAACTAGCTCCCCTTTTGTGTTCTTTGCTTTTTTGGGGTTCCTTTGTTTTCCACTATCCAGGCATTTTTTTTCAGCTGGGTCCTAATTCCAGCCTAGTTTACATTTGGATATGGGTCCAAATTAAACCACTAGGGGACCGCAGGTTAAATCGTCCATGTTTCCATACACCAGGGCAAGCCATTTTGGATACCTGTTTTTGACCCACGCCCATTTTACTCCCCGGGTTTTGTTTATCACTCCAGGGCCTTCGCGGGCTTCAGCACCATGGCCATCTCCCTGGTGGCGGCGTTGGTGGAGCTGGGCCGAGCCAACCACGGGCTGCTCCACGGCTTGGGCGCGACGACGCCGTGAGGAACCCTTGGCTTTGGTGAGGGGTGAGGGGTGAGGGGTTTGGAGGGGAGATTTGGGGAGGGAGGAGCGTGTTGTTGTTTTTTGTTTGCTGGGGGGGGGGGCAAGTTAAGCCGTTGAGGTTGAAGTGTCACTTGGGGTTTGATGATTTGTGGGAAGTTGTTGGATTTTCGGGTGGTTTGTTGATGAGATTTGAGCTGATTGTGATTTGATTTGGGCTTGTGGGAGGTTAGGTGGTTTCGCATTTTTTCAGGACAGACCCATGTTGTTGTTTCTGCCATAACTCACCCTCTCACCCATACCCACCAGAAGGCGGGGTGGATCTTGTAAAACAAATGCTTTTCTCAAGCTGGGTCAAGGATACCAATTGCGATTTTTGTGCCCCTTCAAAAAACCAAAGCGGGTTCGGATTTGGTGCATTCCTCGCAAAGAATCAGTTCGAGAACATAGGGTTTACCAACAACCGCCCCATCTAAAAATCAGGGAGATGGAGGTGGCAAAATTCAAACAACGGTGGTGGCCAGGTGAGCAGCGTTTGTGACAATTAATGTTAGGCATTGAACCAGTGGAAGGGTAAGCGCCAGTCCTGAGAAGCCAAACGCCTCTGAGACAAACTCTCAATCTTTTCCGAAAAGAATCGGCAGTGGAGCTGTCGCAGGATGGATTCGGAGGGAGCACGGTACTGAGTCCCAGCACCGCATAGACGTGGCTGGTCTAACGCTGAGCTGATCGATCTGATCCTCAGATCTTATTGGAAGTAGGACACACGCTACGTTTGACTGACGACTGGAATGCAGCAATCCAGAACAAATTGTCCAGCATTGACATGTAAGTCTGAACATGAGCACACAAGGACGGTACTGCGCTTGGTGGGCGTTGCATTGCCTGCAAGGTGCGAAAGCAGTAAATCATATCCTTTAAAAGTGAATCCCACTGCGCAGAGCGAAATAGCCAAGCAGAAGATGCACATGAGCAGCGGCATTTTACCACAGTATTGATTTTGGGGCTCCTGTCGGTTTGCAAGCTGATTCTCATTTTTGGGACCATCGGTTTTGTGGTGATATTGTTCACAGGATGCAGCCTCCCCTTCCCCCTGGCTTCCCCCAAATACGATCTTAGTACTGCCTCAATGTCATATTTTGGAGGAATTAAGGGGAGGGGGACTGCCTCCTAGGATTTTGTTGAGCATTTCCATCACGAGTTCCATTACTTGCTGGACCAGCCATGTCGCGCGCATACTTCGGAAAGTCTGGAGCAAAAGCGCTTCTCCCTAGATGGGGGCCCAAAGTGGCGCCAAAAGGAGTCAGAAGTCAAAGGACGTTTGCTGCAAAAAACGAGGCGGAGCCGGGGTTGCTCTTTCGTTGTGTTTGCCCTTTCAATTGGTTGTGTGTTTCTTGAGGGTTCCTGTTTCTTTGCTTTGTCATGTACCCAAATGGTGGGTTTAAGCCCCGATTCGTTGCCCTTCACTTGCGCGGGCCTTGGATGTGCAACCTCTTTCGAGCACCAGGGTTCTTGTTGAGAACCGACTTCACTTGTGGCTTAAGCCAGGTTAGTGGACGGCCTGTAAGGTGATTGAGATCGACTGCACTGTGGCCTTTCCAGCGAATCGTTTTGGTTTAATGTGCTTTTGGATGGGGCCTTGTCTTTTGACTGCCTATTGCATTTGATGTTGTGACTTAAGGTTTTAATCAAACCCGAAGGGCACAACACTGGAACCCTCTTGGGGAACCTCCTATGTTTGTTAAAGTGAGCTACGTCCTTCTAAGCCGTGTAGAAGTTCATTTATAGTCCCAACCACAAATCGTCGCCTTCGCCGCCTTTTGAATTCTTTGCATGGGGATCGAACATTTGAATACCGGAGTTGTTTGTTACTCGCCTGGTGCGAATTTTCGATTTTGTCTAATTCGCATCAGCACGAGAAAACCGCCTTCGAATTTGAAGGCTGGTTTTGATTGTCACTCATGTGCACCACCCCACTTGAAGGCGCATAAACCAGCAATCCACTTTACCAGGGCTTGACACGCTCACTGATTATGACTCAAGTGGGCATAGAGCTAAACCAATCAATCGGCCAGTTCTTTCAGCTGAAACTTGCAGCCTTTTGAACGCAGCCTGTACGCGTCTAGTCAACACACACACACATTATATACCATTACTAATATGTAAGTGCAACACAAAAGGGTGTTGTTTCAACATGTCGAGCTATAGATTGCCATGTTTGGCAAGAGCCCCAAGTGAGAATGTATTCATCTTACTTTGGTTTGGCGCCTTGTTGGAGCGTCTACTTGTACTACGAGTGAATGACTATCATCCAGCACCCAGTTAACAGGCAATCAAGGCAGGGGTACAAGTACCAGCAGTAGGAAAAACGAAACCCTGTTGGGTCAAACGGCAACCCCTGGTTTCTCCTTGGAAATTCAACCCGGAAGATCAAATCTCGCCCAATCAGTGCAACCAGTGGTGATGTGAAATGGCTCTCTCTCCATTCCTTGAACCGACGCATCACACTCCCAACACATCTCACTTGAAACTCCAAGCTGAATTGGGATATTTAGAACCACCAACAGCGGAAAATGTGGAAACCACTAGCCACCATATACTAACAAGAAATATGTGTATATGTTGGCCGAGGAGCAGTTGTTTTTTCTTTTTCCGATACGTGCAGGGGAGTTGTTGTGACTGTAACGGTGATTTTGTGGCCTGTTTTAATGTCGACCCCGGCTCTATGCGTCTTAATACCAACCAACCAACAATGGTTTCCCATGGTTTCAAAGTGGTGCAAAATGGATTTCGTCCATCCTCAGTATCAATCAACCAGGGGTTTTGTTAATCCTTTTATTACAGAAGGATATTGTTTATACCATTCCCGACCCACAAACGGCGGTTCATGTTCCCCAAAAGGGGGTGTGCCATTTGAGGGTGCTCTTTTTGGGTGTGGTTAACAAACGGAATTCAATATGAAGCCATCCATTTTCGGGGTTCCCTTTCATGACACACACACACACATTTGTGTGTGTGTGTCTTAAAATTTGGGGACACCAAACATGTTTGGTTTCCTTTGGGTTTCCCTTTAAGACAGCTCCAAAGGGGGTACCCTCAAAAAAGACACGTACTTCCCCATCCCTATTGCCGGATTGGACCAATGCGCAAGCAAGCTGAGGACCATCCGCTGCCTAGGGGACTCCTGTTGCCCAGATGGCTCGTGCCGGCCTAAGTTGCCTTCAAGAACACAGATTTGCTCAACATGGAAGTGGATTAGGTGCTTACCAGGACTGCAAGCTTCCAAAACCCTCCTGTCAGCTTCCATGATTGGAAAGAGCATTTTGTTTAATGAGCTCACCGATGCGGAGGTAAAACCAAGCTACTATTTCAAGTGTTGGAAGACATGACATGCACATAGATGTCAAAGGCCTTTTTCCTGTTGGGTTTTGCAAATCCCTTTTGGATGGTCCATTTTGGCGTTTCTTCTGTGGAGGAAGTGTTTCAATCATTTCGGGATCCCAATTCACGCGAAGGCCAACAGGGAATGCTGTGCTGCCCGTTGCGATCGCTTCGAAGTTTCCATGAACACCTCTTGTGGGCAATCCTTATTTCGGAGGTGTATGTGAAGATCTTGCTTTGGGAATAAAGATCTCTTTCATGGTGGTCAATTATTATTTCGGAAAGAAGATCTCGTTTGGTGAACCCCCCAGCCCCGCATGCAACGTTTTGATTCGGAGGGGAGTCCGCTAGAGCCGTGAAGCAGTTGCTCTACACGCCCGAAAGGACCACCCGAAAGCGGAATGCCTCAATCTCCCCAAAAGTACCATGTGGTATGTGAGGGTTACTTGATCTCCGGAGGCTCCCCCAAGCGTTTTAAGTACGCATTGGGGACGGGAAAACCCGCCCAACTTTGGAACCCACCAGGCCCCTTAGGGAAACGTGGGAACCTGTCTTCCAGGTGCTGGGCTCCGACAAGTAAACATGGAAGAGGACAGCAATTAGTCTTCCCAAGCGTGTATCAGATTTCCATGTCTGGTGTGATTTTGATCGTTCAGAAGTCTTAGTGCTTGATAATTCGCTGAGATCTCACTTGGCGGAGCCGATGGTCTTTGTAAAATAGGTCGACAAGCGTCACCCTTTTTTGGTGGGTCAAAAGCAAAACAAGAGGACAACCACCATGTTTGTCCATTTTTGGGATCCACCATATGATCAAAAAGCAGACCCATACTGTGGATGGACGAAATCCTGCACCACCTTACAGACCCTGGAAGGATGATTCCCCTGTAAATACCGACAAACGTTATGGTTTCAAATGATTTCCAAGAGGTGCGAACTGGATTTTGTCCAACCACAGTACTACCCATGGTTTCACGCACGGTCCAAAGGCATTGGCCGACCGAGCGACCGGAGGCTCTGCCCCTCAGCGCCCTACTACTCCAGCCCCACCTGCGCACATCCCAAGAAGATCGCCTGCAGGATGGGGCAAATCAACTGGAGCGGGTCGCACTCCCTGAGTTCATAAACTTGATCACTTTTTGCTTTGGGTTGATTCGTTGTCCATTCCCTTCAAGCATGTCTTTTTTCACGAAACAAGGATCCGTTTTGCCTGGGTTTCCGGAGGTTTTCTAGAAAGAAGGATCCCTGGAAAGAATGGGGATGTACCCCTAGAACTTCTTGCTTTGGACCTTCAAAAGTGGCAAACAAACAGTTTGGTTACTTTCCTGTCTCGATAGCTTCCTTCAATGGATATGTGTGTGTGTGTGGACTCGTGCGTGTCATTCTGGAGAACGTATTTGGCCGGGTCTTTTTCTTTTGGACAAGCAAGCGAGCAAACAGCCATTCCTTCCTGTGAGCAAGCAAGCGAACAGGAGGCTTCCAAGCATCTGCATCGAACAAGTGTGTTCTCCAGAAGGAGGCTCCTCAAAGATGTATGTGTGCCCTAAAATAGGCGACCCCAAAATGATGGTTGGTTCTTTAGGTTCCATTTACACCACCCCAAAACGGGTACCTTCAAACAAGAC